TATAAGTTGGGAGTGGAGAATCAAGTGGGTGTTCAAAGGTTACTGACAATTGTACTGCTATAGAGAGTTTAAAATATGGAATTGTCTATATTAAACTTTATAGCCATTAGAAAGCTTACGAAAGAAGAAGCATTAGCAAGTTAAGGAATAAAATTTTTTCAATGTTCAAAAAGACAATTTTAGGTAAATTAGTACCTAAAAAGACAAATGTAAATGATTTATAAGATTGCACAAAATTAAAATAGCACAGCAGAAGCATGGTCTTAAAATTTGCCATGAGGTGATGTTATCAAAGTTAGAGAGGTAGTTCTTGTGGGTTCAAACAAATGACTTTCAATAAAAGTCAATGTTTAAGGACTTTCATGCTTATGCAAAGAATTATATTATATTGGTTGGGTGACTTGTAAAGTAGGATTAGCAAGTTGGAGGAATGAAAACCCTAGTTGAATCTGATGACTTAAAAATGGTGGCCCATGAGGCCAAGCATGGGGGAGTCCATGCATGATCATAAGTAAGTCAATTAGCTTGTCAAGTGAGAGGATTTGGAAGCTTAGAGGAATTAAGTTCCTAAGTGGTGATTCATAACACACGTTGGATTAAGTTGGTGCATCGGTGTAGGGAATCACACCAAACATCCTAGGTAATGCCATCTGCAAATGCATATACAAAAGTTAGATTTGAGTTTCAACCCTCTAGTTTTTGGGTTTGAGTCCCAACTTACTAGCATATGGTGATAATTTGGAATATAAAGACACTCATTTTTGGTAGTTATGGACTCTTAGTAAGAATGCTAGTTTGGGCACACTGCTAAATGGGGATGCCCTGGAGTCATGATACACAGTTAGAGCGTTTAATGTGAAAACTCAACATATCTAACTTACTTTAGTGCAATTGATATTGAGGACATGGTAAATGAAATGGGAACACCTAATCTCAGTTGCTATGGACCTTTGGTCAAAAGGGTTAGTTTGGGTGCAACACCAAGTGTGAGGATGCCCTCGAGGTCGTGGTCAACAATTTAAAGATTTGGTAGACATATTGCATATTGATAAACCCATTAAGCTATCTATGTGGGATCACTAAGTAATTCCATGGCTAATAATCAAAGATAAAACTCTTTGGCGGGTTAAGGAATGGTATTTTTTATTCAAAGTAGTGACTTGAACAAATAATATAGTGTGATTTAGTCAAAGTGACCAAGTGGGAAATATGCCTAAAGGAAATAAGCTATGGCAATGCAATGGTATTGTAAGAAAGTAATCTCTAAGGAAGGACCTATAAAAAGGTTGCAATATTAAATCGTGGGTAGAGCCCATAGTAGAAAATGTTAGGGAAACTTATTAAGGGTGAACACCCCTTGAACTTAGCAAACCAAAGCTTTTATTATAGAACAGAAAGAATACCTCAAGGATAGAAATAGTGATCTTATGTTGCTTTATGCAACAATCAAAGGATAGGAGCAAAAGACTAATGGCTGAGAATAGGCTATAGAAAAAATTAAAAGGAATCCAAATGATAAGTTATTGTAGCACACATTATTTCTCTCCCCTTAAGCCAACTAGAAAAGGGGCAATTGCTTGATGAGAGAGCTCTTAGTGGCTATTTTATCCCCATTTATCCCCCAAGGTTCCAAGGATCCACAGTGACAGTATATCCAAATCTCATCCCATGATCACATGCGCTACAGTTATGCGAGGAATACTCATATAATGAATGCTAATAAATTGTGGGAAAGGAAATATATTTTTAAAGATGAATTTTCCAAATCCTTCAATATGGTAAAGGTGAAAGCTCCAAGAGATGGAGCAGCAAAGTAGCCAAATAATAGGGATATAAACAACTCTAACACAAATTATGGATAAATCAAATTAAATGTTTAGTGGCACAAAGTAAAAAAGAGGATAATGGTGCCCTCAATTGAAAGACTTCATAGGATGGGAAAGTGAAGTTTGCACAACATATGCAATTCAAGGTGTTAGAAACACAAGTAAGATTGAAATAGAAAAAGTGTCTTTAACAGATTTAGTGAGAACTAAATGAACAAAAGGAAAGAACCATCACATATAATTTAATAAGACTTTAAGTTGAAGAAATTATGTTCCTTAAAGGATGGAAAGGCATGGTGAGCCTTTAGTGTTGAATCATTGATGAATATTGGCTTGGTGCTAAGGAAAATTATAACTCATGATAGATTTACTTTATGAAATGGTTTATCATTCAATAAGGATATTGTAAGCAACTAAATTTTCATTTCTACTTTAGTTATTTAACGACACCTTTGACCATTTGGAGGAGTCTCACTCACAACCTCCATAATCCCATTCTCTACTTAAAGATATGTTAGCCCCATAAATGGCATCTATGCCATTTAGCCTTTGCACTTGGTCTAAGTGTTTCATGTGTCTGATCCCATGATAGACTATCGAAAGGTACTACTAACATCTCAACTTGTTATGGTAAAGCCATATCCATTTACTCTTGTTTCATTGGTAGTCCAAGACCATCTATACCATATTCCCATCTCTCAAAAATTGGGCCATTTATCCATAGGTGGTCATCTTAGGACCATACCTTAATATCCTTAAGATGCTCAGAGACATAAAGAATACTCTTTCCCATTATCTCTTCTTCAGTCCCCACCAAGTCCCTTTCCATCCACAGCCATGCTCGCCAACACTGCCATTAGATTAGGGCCCGAAATCTTGACCACTAAGTCCCATTAACCTTTGGGACTTCCTTACCTTGTGACTATATCCTTAGTCATTACACAAGAGGATTTTCCACAGTTTGGGATTTTGGGATGACATTTTGAAACACCATAGCTCTACACAAGCCTCATATGTACTCTCCCTAGCTTCTACCCTTAGGTGCCTTAGTTATGTGGTTAGAATGAGGTTTCGATGAGTCATACCAAGTATCCAAGTAAGTAGTGGCTAGAGTGAGGTTTTGATGAGCCATACCAGGTATCCAAGTAAGTAGTGCCACCCACGCTTAGATTGAGAGCATCGATCATTCGATCTCATAGGGGAGCTAAATGTAAGCTCTTGAATTTGAACTTCCCAGGAGGTCACTCAACCCAATACTATTCAAACCCAAGGATGCTTAACCCCAAGTATTCTAAGACCCTTAACCAATTGGAAAAAGGGGTGCACTCTTATTTATAAGCCCTTTCTCTTTATATTTGAACCCCTATAGATCATCTCTTAAGTTGTTTTTTTTTATAACATACACTAAAACCGACTCTTAAACCCTTCACCAAGTTACCCCACTTGTCTGTCTATATTCACTTTAGCCTTAGACTCCTTAATGGTTATATCATCATTCACTATATTGGTATAGCTTTCCTTAGTCACATTTGCTCCATTGAAATTCTCCCCCTACTATCCTTTTGGAACTCATTGAACCCCCTAGGGTTTGTGAAATGATTGCTTTAGGCTTTCACCCTTGGACTTAGACTTGGACTTGGACTCGGTCTCTGCCCTGGTGAAAACTTGATAGATGATATAATTGTTGTAGGTGCGAGAGAGAATTCAATGGAAAACTAGTTACAATAGTCCACTGCTGTGATTGTAGAGTGCCAAAGGGCTTTTAATATCATTATTCTTGAGTTGGCACTATGCTTCTCACCTTAGAACATGCTACCAAATGCATGAATCAATTAAAAATTAACTTGAAACCTTCAATCCCCAAGAAGGTTTATGTGAGTTATCGTGAGTAAGGATAGGCTTAAGATCACTAAAATACTTTGAGTCTTGAATAAATGAATGTGCATTAGTGTTAGGCTAGAGTATAATAAAGATAGGGATAGGGATCAAGTGTTAACTCTCCCCTTTAACTACTCCTACATGGTGGTAATTGCCACTTCTTGAGTTCTAACTATCAAGATTGTAATCTTGAGTGTCAAGGTTATAAACTTGATTGTTAAGAAAATGCTTGAATGCATAGTTAATTTGCTATGCTTCATCTGGTCTCAATCTTAGTCTTGGTGTCAGTCTCAGTCTTTATCTTAATCCCACTACTCATTCCCAAATAATCCTAACCTCCATCAATATAACCATCATACTTTGGAACTATGATATTGACTTCTCAAGTCAATTTCTTTAGTATCTCTGACACTTTGAATTGCACATGTTGTGCAAACTTCATTTTCCCATCTTAGGAAGTTTTTCAATTAAAGGCAACATCATCCTCTATTTTACTTTATACCACTCTAGGCATTAAGTTCTATTTATTTATAATTTATTAAAAACTTGGTGAAAATACTGATTAGTGATGTTGTAGTTTTGTTGCAGATGTGAGAGAGAATTCAGTGAAGAGCTAGCTATGATGGTAATGGATTTATAGTCATAATAAAAATTTAATATAAATATATATTATAAAATAATTATTATTATTATTAAATATTAAATATTAAAATAATAATTTTTTCTGTAAATGAGGTGATAATGCAAAACCTCTATTTAATAGCAACTATTGCAACTAGGATTAGATACACAGATCTAAATATTATTAAAATTAATAATTGTTTAAAATAACTATTTAATAAAAATGTTACCACTAAAACCTTAACAGAATATTCTTTTATGTACTAAACTATGTTGAGGACTCTCTTGGCTCCCTATGTTGGCTAGTCAAGTCTATCACTACAAACTATTAAATACAAAATGAAACAAGGCTGAAACTAGCTCTTCAATCTCTTCAATATTCTTTGGGTTTCTTGTTTTAAGCTGTTGTGATTGCTATTAGTAATTATTGATTATAAGTTTCATTCCTTTGTTCGACTGGCTGGTAATCTCTTTTGTTCGTTCTTTGTTTTTCTTTATCGAAAACTAAATGGGAAACTCTAGGGATATCAAGGAAATTAAAGCTTACATTCTCCCCTTTTCTCTATGGAACCATTGCTTGCTAAACAGTTTTGTGCTAAGTTTTTTAACTGAAAAACTTGACAGTACCAATACTTAATTTCTTTCTCCAGTTGCAAAAGGGGTTCCAAATTGAGAATGTATGCATTGAGCAGTGTTTTGCAAGAAGCTGCTGAAGATGCTTTGTACATAAAAGGGAGTAGCCAGAAAACCTCGAACTGTAATTGATGTGGGATTTGATAATAAAGCTCGGAGACTTTAAGAGTGTAATTAGCGATGGTGGTGTGGATTTGTGATGAACAGGAACGCCAGCATCGATCTTGTCAAGTCATGCACAACACAACGTCAGGCTGGGGAGATCTACAATCGTATCCATCACCTAGTAGTTTCCGACGTCTACCTCGCCAATCTCCTGATTCAGCTGCTTGGCAAAGTTGGCAGCCCACAGCTCTCCCGCCAGATCTTTGATTCAGTGCCTTGCCACAAAAGAGACTCGTACACATGGGACTACCTCCTCGTGGCCTATGCCCAAAACGGGCATATCAATCAAACGCAACAAGTCTTCGATGCAATGCCCCGGAGAAACCTCGTGTCCAGCACCACACTCTCGCGCTTGTATGCCCAGGCCGGGGATCTGGAGGGGGCGATACGAGTGTTCCAAACGATGGCATTTTGTGATCTCATCTCCTGGACGGTGCTGCTAGTTTTCTATGCCCGATCCGGCGAGGTGGGCGATGCCGCGAGGCTGTTCGATGCAATGCCGGAGGTGGATCTGGCATCCTGGACTGCAATGCTTGGCGCATTTGCCCAGGTTGGTGATCTGGAGAAATCAAAGAAAGTCTTTGATGCAATGCCGGAACACGACGTCGTGTCGTGCACCGCAATGCTGAACTCGTTCGGACAGAGTGGAAATCTGGAAGAAGTGTGTGGGATTTACGAGAGAATGGAGGAAAGAAACCAGGTTTCCAAGACGGCTCTTCTTTCTGCATATGCCAACAGTGGATTTGCTAACGAGGCCAAGGAGATGTTTATGAAAATGGAGGAGTTTGATCTGGTTTCGTGGAACACAATGCTTTCGATGTATGCAAAATACGGCCAGATGGATGAAGCAAAGGCTCTCTTTGATCACATGGAAGAGCGGGATCTTGTTTCTTGGAATTCAATGCTTACTGCATTTGCCCAATACTGGCATATTGGAGATTCAGAAAGTTTATTTCATTCTATGAAAGAAAGGGACATAGTTTCGTGGAATACAATGCTTGCTGCCTACGCAAACTTAGGTCTTGTATCATGTTGCGAGAAAATATTCTATGAAATGCCTGAAAGGAATCTAGTGTCATGGAACTCGCTCCTTGCAGCATATGCCCAAAACGGGCAAATGGAAAATGCTGTGAGCATTTTTACGGTGATGTGCGAGCGGAATCTTCTCTCTTGGAACTCTCTGCTGGTCGCATACATGCACGATTCGTATACAGAGGAGTTCCTTCGGGCGTTTTTTGCTATGCCAGAGCGTGATCTCATCTCCTGGACGAGCCTCATTGCCGTGCTTGCCCAAAACGGGCATTTGGATCAAGCAAAGCTCGTCTTTGATCGGATTCCAGAGCGAGATCTTTGCTCCTGGAACACAGTCTTGGCAGCATTTGCCTACAGCGGAGAATTCAGTGATGCTTTCCAGATCTTTGGCGAGCTTAACATGATTGGGAGCCCAGATGGGATCTCATTTGCCTGTGTTCTTCATGCATGTTGCCATGCAGGGAAAGCTTCCATTGGGAGGAACTACTTCTTTTCCATGACAGTGGATTTTGGGTTGGATCCATCCAAGCAGCACTATAGCTGCCTGATCAATCTGCTGGGAAGAGCTGGGCATCTGGATGATTGCCAGGAACTTGTAAATTCAATGCCTTTCGTCGCTGATGGCTCGGATTGGAGGAGTTTTCTGGGAGCTTGCGCTAGCTCCAAGGAGATTTGGAGGACACAGCGTATGAGAGAGGTTAACATGAACCATCCAGCATCCTATGTTCTCCTCTCAAACATTTTCTCCGTTAAGCAAAAAATGGAATTGGACGGCTCAGATTGACTCTCACTTTGTACTTTAGGGCATATAATTATCTATAAAATCCTGATTAAGCTAATTCCTTTTAACCATGCCTTCTAACCGCCACTAGGAATATTCTTCGTATAGCTTCCCGGAAAAGCCTCCTGGATTAGGGTTCTTGGGCGCAAGTTTGAAATCATGTCGAGCGGCCTCACGGTCGTGAAGCTGCGCGAGGCGCTTCGCAAGCGCAATCTCGACGCGACGGGGCTCAAGGCGGATTTGGTAATGTCTGTGTGGTTCGATCGAGCTTGAGAATGCGTTTTCCCCTTGTAATCCCTAGGTCGCCAGGCTCGACGATGCGATCGCCGCCGAAGCACCGACGACGAAGAAATCCCCGACAAAGAAGCGAGCTGCAAAGAGAAAAGGCGAGGAGGAAGACGAAGACGATGGAGACGATGCCCCACCGGCGCCTAAAAGATCGAAGGCCGACGAGGTAAAAAGAATGACAGTGGTAGATCTCCGCGCGGCATTGAGCGAGCGTCAGCTTGCCACGACTGGGCGGAAGAACGATCTCGTGGAGAGGTTAATTGCTGCTCTCGAAAGTGATGTCGACAAAGGTAACGCGAATGGAAGTCTTCCTTCTCACCGTGATTTTGATAGATGAGGAAGATGCCAAGAGCGATGCTACTGCCAAAGATCAAGCCGACGATACCCAGCCCGACTCTCGCAGAGCAAGTGCTCGTGGCAAGGAGAAAGAAGGAAAGAAGGAAAGGGAGGAGGAAGCTAAGATGGTAAAAGCTTACAAGAAGGGTCGCGCGGTCTTGGACGAGGTGCTAGCCGATCATATTAAATCGTCGTGTCATGTTCTAGAAGAGGTGCGTTCTCTTTACTTTTCTAGTGAGTTTTTTTATCCTAAGCCAGTGGTTATTTCACATAGGGGGACGATGTGTATGATGCAATGCTCAATCAAACCAACGTAGGAGAGAACAATAACAAGTACTATAAGCTCCAAGTGCTAGGCAAGTACGCTTACAAATCGTTTCTTGTGTTACTGACAGCGTTACATGGCAGAATCTGATGACAACTCCCAGTACTTTGCGTGGTTTCGTTGGGGTCGAGTTGGATACAAAGGTCAAAACCAGCTCCATAACTTACCCCGAGAAGGTGCAAAACGGGAATTCGAGAAGAAGTTTTATCAGAAGACTCGTAACAACTGGAGGGATCGCAGTCGGTTTGTTTCACACCCGCAAAAATACACGCTTCTGGAAATGGACTACGAAGAGGAAGATGCCGCGAAACAAAAGGTTGCATTTGCAATCCAACTACGAGATCCTGACTTTCTCTTCTTGCAGACGGAGAAGAAGAAAGACGTGGTCCCTCCTATGAAGAAGCAAGTTCAGAGCAAACTTGACAGCCGTGTTGCGCAATTTGTGTCTCTGATTTGCGATCTCAAAATGATGAGGCAACAAATGGTGGAGATAGGATATGACGCTCGAAAGATGCCCCTTGGCAAGCTAAGCAAGGCGACAATCCTAAAGGTGACGTGCCTCTTTTGAACTCTTGACGAGACTGGGTAACTTTTGTGTTTTCCAGGGATATCAAACACTGAAATCCATTCAAGGGGTGTTGGAATCGCGTGGACCACCGCAAACCTTGCTAGACTTGAGCAGGTAAAGTTTATTCTAATCTGGTTTGACTCAACATATGTTTATTTGGTTTTGCAGCGAGTTCTACACACTTATCCCGCACGATTTTGGCTTTCAGAATATCCGTAAGTTCCCAATTTTGGTTTATTCATCAGATTGCGAGCTTATATTTGCAGGACAACAAACTATTAACACTATCGAGAAGCTGAAAAAGAAAATTGAAATGGTACTATGCGTGACGTCGATACGTTTAATACAAGCTTATGTTTTTCTAATCAGGTTGAGGCTCTTGGAGAGATTGCAATCGCTGCGCAGGTTCTAGAAGAAGATGACGAGGAGGTAAAGTACTTGTTTAACATCAGTGTAAAATCTCAATGTTTTTCTTGTACACAGGATGATCCAGCATTTGCACATTACAAAAGGCTGAAGTGCAAGCTTGAGCCACTCGACCAAAGTGGTGAAGAATTCAAAATGGTTTGTAACAAGTTTTGAAAGTTTAGGTGCATACAAGTAAAAATTGTCTTTGTTTTCCAGATCCAGGAGTATTTGAAGAACACCCATGGCCAAACACATCGCAGTTATGACCTTATTTTACAGGATGTATTCAAGGTTCAGAGAGATGAAGAAGATGCGGGTTTTCGTAGTGTAAGTGAGGCGCATTCTGCTAGAGCAATCGCTTACTCTGCATTTGCAGTTTTCTCAAACTCCCAACCGCATGCTTCTCTGGCACGGCTCACGGCTGACAAACTGGACGGGCATTCTTTCCCAAGGTTATTTTGTTGTGCTCAGACATAGACTAAACCGTTTATGGATTTAGGACTCCGTATTGCTCCTCCGGAAGCACCATCGACGGGTTATATGTTTGGGAAAGGCGTTTATTTTGCTGACATGGTATCCAAGAGTGCCAACTATTGCTTTACTACATCGCAAAATCCCCGTGGAGTTCTCCTCTTGTGTGAGGTACCCCGCTCTTCTTTTTGCTCGCAACCGTCATTCTTTGTGTCTTTCAGGTGGCTCTTGGACAGATGAATGAGCTTTATCAAGCGGACTACAATGCGAACAGACTCCCTCCCGGAAAGCTAAGGTCACGCAGTGCTGTTTCCTCGTTTCTTCTATTGGTTTTTGAATGTGGTGTGGTATTTCAGCACGAAGGGTCTGGGTCGATCGGTACCAAATAGCTCGCAGTTTAAGACGCTACCAGATGGAGTAGTCGTGCCTCTGGGAAAACCAGTGAAATCTCCTAACGTAAGTTACCGTATTTCCAGCTCGTGTGTGACGTGGTTTGTTTTCCTTTTCTTTGCAGAGCAATACTAGCCTCGAGTACAACGAGTACATCGTCTATGACACCAAGCAGATCAGAATGCGATATGTTTTGCAAGTGGATTTCCAATACAAGCTCGGCCGCTATTGAACAATGCTGGTCCTTTTCTTTTTCTTTTTCACTGTAAATATAACACGTTTCAGGAACAAAAGCTGATGAACTTAACATGCTGTTAACTTTGCTAAACTCCTTAGGGCAAACAGAGGAATATGGTTTTCTGAGCTGTGACAAGGTATGGCTGCTTCGAGCTCCATGTAAACTCTTCATCCTTGGTTTTCTTTCATTCTTTCCAGGATGGCGTTTTGTGTGCATTGTGTAAATGCGGGGGCGACGGGCTTTGGAGCAGCTTACAATGGTGCTAGAGGTATCTGCTTGGCTACGTTTTTTTCACGCTTCCAGCTGTGTGGTCTTGCAGAAAATTGTGGAGAGATACGCAGCAGCGTGTGCTTCAGGCAAATGAAAGGGGCAGTAAGCTTCAATTTTGCTGCATCACCGCTTGCAAGAGATAAATGTGGAAGAAAAGCGAAGCTCCTCAGGTCTCTCTTTCCTTTCTGTAAGTCTTTTTATTTACACGGGACGTTTCCAGGTTTGTGAGGGCTGCAACTGTCGAGGACATCGAAGCCGAGAAGCAACTCGTTGAAGAAGATGCTGTACGTATACATTGGGCAATCTCAAATAAATATGTGATATGACTTTCCCCGTTCAGATGGAAAGAATGGAGAAGACCATTGAGACCGTCAAGTCCAACTTCAACACAATTCGAACAGGCCGTGCTAGCCCTGCTCTGCTCGATCGTGTTGAGGTATGCTTCTTTCTAAAGCGTTCTAGTTAAATCGTTCTATGGACAGGTCGAATACTATGGAACACTTGTGCTTCTCAAAACCATTGCTCAAATAAGTACACCGGATGGAAGTACTATACTTGTCCAGCCATTTGATCGATCCAGGTAGAGGATGTGGGAGTTTTGTTGTTATGACTACTAGCTATTGTGCAGCTTGTCGGCCATTGATAAAGCGATCACAAAGTCGGACCTCGGCCTGACGCCGAGCAACGATGGAATTGTCATTCGTTTGAATATACCGCAGCTTACTGCTGAAAGAAGGAAGGTAAGTTTGGTTCTCTTTCAGTTCCCATTTTCTTTGCATTTACACTTTTTTATCTCTCTTTTGCAGGAGCTTCTCAAGCTAGTGGCAAAGCTAACCGAGGAGGGGAAGGTTTGATCTAAATCCTTTTGAGTCATACTTTTTAGGCCTTGACCATCAGGTAGCGTTGAGAAATGTCCGAAGGGATGCCATCAAATCGTACGAAAAGCTCGAAAAGGTATCTAAATTTCCCCGGAACTTCCGCTAACAAATCGAATGGTCAGGAAAAGAAGATATCCACGGACAATGTAAAGGATCTCTCCACCGAAATGCAGGTAAAATACCAGATCTAATTTTATCCACCACGCTTCAACAAGAAGCTCTGATGCACAGAGGCTCACGGACGAATACGTGAAAACCGTGGATGATTTGTTCAAACAGAAAGAAAAGGTTTGACAGCGTACAGTCTCGAGTTAACTCCTGTTTCTTTTCCTTTTATTTCCGTAGGAGCTGTCAACCGTGTGATCTTGCAAAACTCGTTGTATTTATAGGATCAAACATTATGCTGGAAGTGTGAACAATGCAAAAATTGCTGTATTACAATTCAAATACATGGATCAAACATTTTGTGTGACCTTGATTTCAATGCATTCTATTTTTTAATATGTATGTCAACTGCGTATTCTTGCAAAATTGTTGTGTGGATCAAAGTATCAATCCACCACAGAAGGCAAAGCCCCATTGTCCCAGGCCATGCAGCACCCCTCGGAGCCACAGCAGCACATCTCATTGTAAATATACCGCTGCTCGCCACCCGAGTAGTCGAAGCATAGCTCCTCGCCAACTTTGATATCCCTGCTCGCAAACATCATAATATGGAACATCGGGCGCTCGTCGTCGTCCAAGCCCTCGTACGGAACGTGCTCCACCCGGATGTTCCCGCCGTCACACCGGTGGTTGATGAACCTGGCCACGTTCCCGTAGGCGACGGCGTCCACCACCACCAAATTGGCCGGGAACCTGGCGTCGCCGGGCATCTGGAACTGGTAGTCATGGCGCGCGGAGCTTGAAAAGTCGAGCACCTCGCCCACGTACTCGCACACGAAGCTGTCTTTGGGGATTGTTTCCGCGGCTCGGACGCCCCAGCCGCAGCTTTCAGTCTTGAAGATGGCGAGTCTCTTTTGCATCTGGCAGCTGCACTGCGGGCCGCACTTGTCTTTCGGCTCTGAGCGTGGCGAAGGGTTGCGGTCGAAAGGTGGCAACGGTCCGCGAATGTTGTGGCGCACGTAGTAAAAGTTGGCGACGAAGTCGTTTGGAAACGAGACGCGGTCCATGGAATCCTTTGGTTGTAATGAATGGACCATCTTTGCGAGGCTTATATAGTTGCCACTCAAAAAGGGTTAGATGCTAGGTATGTTCTACTGGTAGTTAACTCCTGTTGAAGTAAAGGAACTAACCTTGAGGCTTAGTAGGAAACGTTTTCTTTCTCTTGTTAATAATACAACTTGTCTGTGCAAATAGTCATTCTCCTCTCTGGGAAATTTTCTTCAAAATCTTGGATCTCACGAACTCTTGCTGGTCCATGTCGAGCACGCCACCGGTACCCTCCTCCACCACGTAAAACACATCCTCCACTCGGCTATCCTGCGTCGAGATCTTCGCTCCTTGAACGCTACAAAACAAGCAACGAGAGTTACGTAAGTTCCTGCCTGTCTGGCAAGAGAAATCAAAATAGAAGAGCACACATACCTGACGCCAGCTTCGTTGAGAGCCAGAATGATGTCCGCCAGGAGCATGTGTCGATCCGGCCCCTCGACTTTGATCTCGGTTTGCTTGCCGACGTTCTGGAAGTGAATGCCGACGCTCTCGGCTCCTCCCGAGTCCACCACCGCGTCGTGGATCCTGGCGCTCTCCTCTTCCAGCGACGTTCCAATGCTCAGAGTCGGAGACACCGTCCCGGCATCCTGTTCTTCCAGGCAGCTCGAGCGAGAGTTCACGTCCACGTCCCACGGCGGTGCCACCGATTCATAGACACTGTCCGACAAGTCTGCTGCCGCTCCAACCACGTCAAACCTCGTCAAGGTTGCCGCCGGACTGGAGAAGTCATCGTCCAAGAGCTCGCAGTATGTCTTCCTCCTGAAAAAAAGAAAAAGCAACGGGGGTGGCAAGCGAAAGACCTGCTAAGTGAGAAGATCGACGACAAATGGAAATGAGACACAAAGATTAAAAAGCTGGAAGAAACGTACCCGGCTCTAAAACTCTCCCACGAGAGGATCTTCGAAACTTCGATGCCTCGACCGACCGGGAGCGTGGACGAGTCGATCCCCGGCTGCTGACGGACGTGCTTTATGTACTCGTTGGTGGCGTCGTCCAGCGCATTGTAAGCGACGATGATGGCCGCGTGCGTGAATCTCAGGCTGTCAAAGTAGTCGATGTAGTTCTCCGGCTCGCCAGTGAAGAGCACGAAGTCGAAGCCTTCCCGGTCCAAGACGAAGGAGCCGGGCTTGTCCGGGAAGAAGTCCACGTAGTCGCTGAGGCCGAGGTCCAGGACGTAGCGGGCGACGACGGCCTGCTTCTGGCGGTCGGTGTCCACGCACTCGAGGCAGCCACCGGTTGCTCGAGCGGCGGCGGCGAGGGCGATGGTGGAGAGGCCGCAGCCAATGTGGAGAATTCGGCGAGAGTTGCTCCCGGCGGCCAAGGCGGCTATAAACTCAGCACTTCCGGGTTCTAACACTCGTGGGCGGCTGGACGACCAGTTTGGGTGCTGCTTCTCTAGAATGATTTTCCGCTGCAAAGCCACACAAGGTGGAGGAGAGTTAGAAATCTATACCACCCATCCAGCAAGATCACGACGAAAAGATCGAGAACAAGGGAAGGAGAAAAAAAAGAAAGAGAGAAAGAACAGAGTCTGGCCTACAAAGGACTGGAGAACACAAAAAGAGGGTCTGGCCTGCAAAGAATGACTTTAGAAACTCTCCCCGGAGGTAGGAGAAGTTACCAAAAAGAGGGAAAAGCGCTCATACTTACCAA